TAAGGCATCTCATATGTTGAATGCAACAGACGAGGTTGTTTCTTCTAACTCAAACATGTGTAGGACGAGGGAAAAATCCAAAGAGTTTACTGATACAACCTTATATTCTAAGTCGGAATTCATATCTTCAACTAATGCTCTTCGAAAGAATCCGAAGAAGATTCTTGAAAAGTCTGAGTTTCTGAAGTTTATTGTTGATTCAATAAAAAATGTCGATGATCGTAATAACGTCACCCCTCCAGAAGAGAAGGAACATGTTTATTTCAAAGAAACACTTCCTTTAGTATTCCGATTTGAAGACGAGGAACCTCTTTCCCCATAGAAAGAAGAATGGGAAAAGGAAATTGAAGATCATTTTTTCTGAAATGAACATGTGATTTAATTCCATATATACATAACTATATTGAGGTGTATTTATATATGTGTATATTTAAGTCATATATTCATATACATATATAATTTATAATACAAATAGTTCTATATTTTATAGATATATTTGTATATTTATACATATGCATATACTCTTATTTAATAATTAATTTGTATAAATATTCATGTCAGTATCGTAGTAGAACTCATTTTGGATACAATATTTTATTAAAAAACGATTAGCATGAATCATGGTATTCTGAAAGTTTTATGTTATCATATTTAGTGTCCATATATCCATTTATTAATATATTTTTTTGTATAAATTAAAAACAAAAAAAGGAGATATACAAATCTAAGGCTCCATAATAAATTAAACTATAGCCATGGAGCGTAATTAGATAAACTATAGCTACAGAACATTATTTGCTTAAATCTATTTGCCATATATGAAATTTACTCATAGTGTTTAGGTTCTACACATGACGACACTTATCAATTTAAGAAGGCTCATAATGTGAAAATATAACGAGAAAGCAAAAATTTAGGTAAAATAGAAAGACATGAAAATACATTATGGTTAATCAAGAACATATCATGAAAACCTTACGTAGACATGTTAATTGGCTTCACAATAACAAGCCCATTACGAAAAGGTCAACTAAATTAGGTGATAATTAGGGTCCGCGTCAAGAGTGAATAATATGGGTTCTTTGACTATAAATAAGAGAAAGTCAGAGATAGAGACGAAATAAATAATCTAGAGTTAGCGCGTGAGTTTTTGAACTTTGAAGGAGATATGGACCAAGAAAACAAGAATTAACCCTACTAATTGAGGTATGTTGTTTGTGACAATGTGATGTAATTGCAATTCATATATGTTAGCTCTAATCATAGAGTGTCTATCTTCATTTATACTATTTTTTCCTATTCTACTTTGAATTTATTTTCTTGATTCGAGGGTCTATCGAAAATAACATTCTACCTCCAAATTATTCTTTCATTTCTATCTCTGATTCTATCTTATTTATAGTCAGAGAACCCTTATTATTCGTTTTTGACGCGAGTCCTAGGTTCACCTTTTTGTAATGTGCTTGTCATTGCAAGACCCATTAATCTGCCCAAGTGAGTTTTTTCATGATAATTTTAAAACTCCATGTATTATTTTGGGAAATTCGATTTGAAGTCATTCAATTACCAATATAAAAGTGATTATCTGCATGTTATTCCAAATTCACATTTAAGGTATGTTAAGGCAAAAATGTTTCTTTTATATCGCACGATTTTTGAACAATATAAATTATCGAATAAATCATTTTTATACTATTCCATTTCTAGGAAGACCCTCTTTGAAGGGCATTGGAATGTCACCTGTTTATTTTTCTTAATTTTAACGTATCATTGTTGTACATGTACTATTGTGAATTACACGGTTGATGGCTAAAAGTTATGTTCCACAATGTTCTTATTTCTCAAATGATGGAGATTTATTATGTTATACCTCAAGGTATTGTTAAACCGTCCTTTCTCGTGCCAAGTTCTTACGAAAATGGTTTTGAAAATCATATTCATACTAAACCTTGTACTATATTCTTTTGATTGTATACTCATCAAGCAATCATATTTCTGAAAAGAGTTGCACTATTACCATATTGGAGTCGTTCATAAATTAAGTCAGGCATGTTAGTCCCCTTTCAGTTCCTAAATGATTAAATTGCTAAGTTGAAGTTGAGTTAAGTGTCCAAGTTTGTTCTAAAAGCCTGTGAGTTCTACGAGTGGTTTACATGTTATACGGAAGGGATTACGAGATTATGAAAACAAGAGTATCAATGGGACATGATTAGAAACATGACTATGGTAACATATATACATTACGAATCCATGACATGACACATTATGCATTCTACTCCTGAGCTATAATCGGGAGGTATGGGGCCTATTGCCTATATTTATACGTATGAGACACAGATGACCAAAAGTTGGCGAATATGATGTCGGTTAGGCACCGGAAGGAACCACCATTGCTAGCATTTGGTTGGGTATATCATGCATTTGCATCTATATATATGTATTCACGACATACGATTACAAGAGCATACCATGCGTATTTGATTACTATGAGGTCAGATTTTGATCATGAAGGCTATTTGAGTTTCAGTTTCAGGTTGAATCTCCACTACCCTTTTTATCATAGTTATATATGATTTCACTTTCAGCCTTACATACCAGTACATTTTCATTCGTACTGACGCCCCATTGCCTGGAGATGCTGCATTTCGTGCTGCAGGTTCTGACAGAGGTCCTGATTGGCTTTTGCAATAGGGGGTGTTGTCTGAGCTGAGGATTGGTAAGCTCCATTGCCTAGGGATGCTGCATTTCGTGCTGCAAGTTCAGACATAGCTCTTGATTGGCCTTTGCAATAAGGGGTGTTGTCTTAGCTGAGGATTGGTAAGCTCCATTCTTCCTGGAGTTGTTGGTCATCTTTAGGTTTTGTATACTTGAGTTTGGTATATAGTTATTGGTACTTTCAGGACCTCGTCCCACCCATTTGAGTTGTAGTATTCATAGAGACTTGTGGACGCTCTATGTTGGGCCTTCTTAGCTTCCATTTATTGCCTTGTCGGATTATTGTATATATGATTTTAGTTGTAGCCTTGTCGGCTTGCTAGTTCATTATCAATTAAGTTGTCTTTCCGGCCCTTCTATTATGTCATTGATATTTTTGTGACCTCGTCGGTCCACTTATCTTGCTTCAGTATTTGATTGTGAAAGCCTTGTCGGCTCTTGCTATTTTCTTTCCATTATGTTTTAGTGTTCTAGCTTGGTCGAATAAGGTACCGCGTGCCCGTTGCCTCTCCCCTCATTTGGGGCGTGACAAACTTGGTATCCAACATCATATCAATAATTAAAAGATTCAAGTCTTCACAATTCACATCATCCTTGTTCCTTTGAAGCTAACGAAGAATTCCGATGTCATAAAATGCACACAATATTTACCCACTTTAGTCTATGAAGATTTTTGTTTTTGTTGTATGTGAAAGTGATATTAATACACAATTTTGTCGCTTTAAATATGAAAGAAAAATCTTATATACATTTGTAGAAAAAAATTAACGTGCTATCTATTATTTTTCATTTCTCGTTTCTCCTCCTTAGCAAAACCTAACACCACCCACCTCCCTCTTTTGTCACGCTTCTTTTTCTTATTCTATATTAGTGTATGTATTTTCGACCAAGTCCTTGTTACTTTGTTTTTACCTATTTATAATAGGCTTATTAGTATTTTTAGTCTCTTGGAAATATTCACAATTTTTCAAAAATATTAAATGTTTATCGTGTAATAGTTTACGTGTTATGTTAAACTTGTATTATTACTTCAATATTTGATGATAATATCTCTAGATGTAGTCCAAATTTGACATATTTCCTACAAAAAGGAACATTTTGATTAATAGAAAATAAAATATACCGAGTTATATATTACAAGTATCAAAATCAAAATTTATTACTAACTCAAACACCAAACGTGCAATATTAGCCTTTGTAATTAATTTTGAATTATGACATTCTGGGCACAATAGAGTTTCACACTATTGGTCACCCACCTTCGCTATTCTTCAGGTGAGAACTATATAAACTCATTTTTATGCAGTAACTTACAAATCACACAGGAGATATTAACTGTATTAGGCAAATCCGATGCAAGGAACTTGACTGAGAAGATGTTGGCAAGTAAAATCGAACTATGGCCTACCACCCGCTATATTAATTCAGCCACCTTTGTAACGGGTTCTAAGAAAATTTGAACACCCTTTGCCATCACTCAGTTGAGCAGCACATTTCTTTTTCAAAATTATTTCGTTGTTAATTTACTTTCTCTAAGTTATAAGCAAACCTGAAACCTTTTAGATCAGTGGTCTATAATCATCGATCTCATCCTTTTTTTCCAAAACCTAATGTGGGGTGGGGGGGGGGGCGATGATGATGTCCATAATTAAAGTATTTTTCTTTATCCATCGTCAATTTCTTACTCAAAGTAATTATAAAATTTACACAAATAACAACGATATTCAAAAGTAATAAAGCTATATAACAAAAATATATGAATTAAAACTAAATGGTATAGCTAAACTGGATCCCATAATTTTGAAAAAGTTGTACACGAATTAAATAGAATAAACAAATATTTTCTTATTTTTTCCAAAAATACCCTTGCAGCAAATTTTGACAATTCATGTGACTCAATTGGAAGAGTTAATGTTCACACTTTAAATCATCCTGATTCGTTGGAATATTCTAATCTATCACAAAATGTACGCACTTTACATAAGTTTTTTCTCTCACGCATAAGAGGCTTGTCTAAGTCACATTTTTCTTATGTTGTTACTCTATCTCGCTCTCTCTCTCTCTCTCTCTCTCTCTCTCTCTCTCTCTTATATATATATAAATGTTTCTATGCATTCAGTTTATTCAAACTCATCACACTCTCGATTACTCCTTTTATACCGTTTTGAGAATTTAAAGCTATCCATTCTTGATTTTCCGGCAGAAAAAGGGCCTTTCCCCATTACTCTGTTTTTCACAGTTTGGAAGAATTCAAAGTTATCCATTCTTGATTTTCCGGCAGAAAAATGGCTTTTTTTTATATTCAGGTTAGTATTTGTAAATGCAGTTCAGTCTTGTTGTTATTGTGAAGAATTTCTTTCAAATACATATATGCTTATGAATTTTGATTTATAACGAAAATTGTGTATTTTGTCTCAGGTGCGAAAGATGGATTCAGGGGATGGCTCTGTTTCAAAGAGGAGGACTAGACAACAATCTTTAAAATGTATGGTCGAGATAATTGAAAAGAGGAACGAGTTGAGTCAAAGTGGGAATTCTACTAATGGAAGGAAAAGAAAAAAGATGGAGACTTCTGGAGGTGACGAAAGAAATGTGGAAAACAATAGGAGGAGGAAGTTCACTCGAGGAACTTCTGAGTCCTTCACAAATCAGACTTTCGTCGAGTAAGTATCTGCTGCTGATGATTCGTCAGAGGAGGAGACTGATCCTGATGATGTTATTGTTGAGGAGGAGGAGGATAGTGATCCTGATATTGTTATCGTTGTGGAGGAGGTAGAGATTGAACCTGATGTTGTTAACATTGCGGAGAAGGAAGAGGTGGAGACTGAACCTGATGTTGTTAACGTTGCAGAGGAGGATGATGAGTTGGAGGAGGATAAGGATGAGGAGGAGGAGACTGATCCCAATGTTGTTATTGTTGAGGAGGAGGAGAGTGATCCTGATGTTGTTATGGAGGAGGAGGAGGAGGAGGTGGAGAGTGATCCTGATGTTGTTGATGTTGCGGAGGAGGAGGTGGAGAGTGATCCTGATGTTATTAATGTTGCGGAGGAGGTGGTGGTGGAGACTGAACCTGATGTTATTAACATTGCGGAGGAGGAGGAGGATGAAGAAGATGAGAGTGATCCTGATGTAGTTATCGTTATAGAGGAGGAGGAGGAGGAGGTGGAGAGTTATCCTGATGTTGTTAACGTTGCAGATGATGATGATGATGAGGAGAAGAGTGATCCTGATGTTGTTATCGTTACGGAATAGGAGGAGGAGGAGGTGGAGATTGATCCTGATGTTGTTAACATTGCGGAAGATGAGGAGGAGAGTGATCTTGATGTTGTTATCATTGAGGAGAAGGCGACTCTTATCTTGAATGCAACATATGAGGTTATTTCTTCTAAGTCAAACATGTGCAGGACATGGGACAAATCCAAAGAGTTTACTGATACAACCTTATATTCTAAGTCGGATTCGAATCTTCAACTGATGCTCTTCGAAAGAATCCGAAGAAGATTCTTAAAGAGTCTGAGTTTTTGAAATTTATTGTTGATTCAATAAAAAATGTTGATGATCATAATGAAGTTATTCCTCCAGAAGAGAAGGAACATGTTTCTGTCAAAGAAACACTTCCTTTAGTATTTTGATTTGAAGACGAGGAACCTCTTCCCCTAGAGAAAGAAGAATGGGAAAAGGAAATTGAAGATCTTTTTTCTGAAATGAACATGTGTCTCTTGGAATCACATATTGGATTTACGAATCTATCAGTTTCGCTGATGCAGAGTGGACAACTAAGTGAATGTCAGATGGGGAACCATAAGCTTAAGCTAGATGAACAAATTGGACTCATCTGTTCAGTTTGTTCATATGTCCATTTGGAGATGAAATACATCTTCCCTGATTTTGCAAGTATACAAGTTTGGTTCTGTCAAGCACTTATCTTTAAAATATAAAATACATAGTTCATCTAGAAAAACTATAGAAAAACTACTGAAGAGTATGTCCATTAAATTGGCATGGCAAAGCTATAGAAAAAACTACCACAAAATATAGATTTACTAGAATATGTGCAACATATATTTTTTAAAAAAGAAGTGCTTGACATAACAAAACTCGTATACTTACAAAATCAGGGAAAATGTATTTCATCTCCAAATAGACATATGAACAAACTGAACAGATGAGTCCAATTTGTTCATCTAGCCTAAGTTTATGGTTCCCCATCTGACACTCACTTACTTTTTCACTCTGCATTGGCGAAACAGGTGAATTTGTAAAGTCAATTAGTTCTTCCAACATACACATGCCCATTGCAGAAAAAAGATCTTCAATTTCCTTTTCTCATTTTTCTTTCTCTGGGGTAAGAGGTTCCTCGTCTTCAAACTGGAATATTAAAGGAAGTGTTTCTTTGACATAAACATGTTCCTTTTCTTCAGGAGGAGTGAGTTTATTATGATCATCGCAGTCCTCTTTATACGAGAATTTACACTCCTCGTAATCAGACCCCTCCTAATCCGACTCCTCATCATCATATTCCTCCTCATCAGACTCCTCATCATTCTTATTCTTAGACTTGTCCATAGAGCGTGGCCGAAGAAGACATGTTCGACCTTTGTTGTGGTTTTCACCCTCAATAACAAGCTGAGGTACAATAACTACATCAGGATCACTCTCCTCCTCCGAACTATCAGATATTTCCTCACAAGTTCCTGGAACGAACTTCCTCCTCTTGTCACCTCTAGAAGGCTCCACCATTCTTCTTTTCCTTCCAACTTCTCCAATATTCTCAACAGCTTCACAGTCCTCTTCAAACTCCTCGTCATCACTTAGAAGAATCGGACCTTTGTTGTTTTCACCCTCAACAGTAAGTGGAGGACTCCCCAATGGGATATCCACAATTAAAGGCCATTTCTCGTGAGTCCCATCGTCCACCCATGTTTCACACCCACATTCACAAGTTGTGTATCCCAATTTAGTAATGGGACGTTTACAATTTCGACCCAACCATCTTGAAATAGAGCCATCCCCTGAATCCATAAATATGCACCTGAGTCAAATTGCACAATCATTAGTACACTAAAAATTGATCAGAAAATAATTAAGTTCGTCTTAGATTTCCAAAATGACAAATATTTTGAGAAAGAGGAAGTCGTACTAAGAGAATAGTGTGAAACACTAATGTGACTAAAATGTCATAATTCAAAACTTAATTACAAAGGATAATAACATCCATACATAAAAAATGATCTTTAGCGGCAATTTGTTAACAGCAATAGCTCAATTGCCACTAAATATGTAGTTTTAGTGGCAATTAACACTATTTGCATATGTTCATGAAGCCTTTAGCGACATTGGATCTAATGACACTTAACTAATGTTAGTAAAGACTTGAACATTCTTTATTAATGTATCTATTTATTGCCGCTAAAAATTGTTTTTGTTGTAGTGATGCAGGAGTGACAAACGAGATAGTTGAGTCGATCGAAAATGAGTTAAACGAAAATGAATAAAGTACTCGACTAGACTCGACTCATTTTTAAATGGGTAAAAACGAGTTACCCAATGGATAATATGGATACTCATATTATAGTAGAGATCTTGTTAAAAACTTTGAAAACAAAATATTTTTAAAGTGTTTTTTATCACCCCACTCCCTTCCAGCCCACCTGCCCCCTATCCCAAAAAATGAAAAAAAAATAGTTTGTTTTTATTAAAAAAAAAAATTAATTCTTTTTTAAAGTTTTTTTTATCACCCTACCACCCCCCCTCCCTACGCCCCCTATCCCATTTTTATTTATTTTACCCCCCTTCTAGCCCCTTCCCAAAAAAAAGTTTAATTTTTTTTTCAATAGATATTTTCCTTACCCCACCCCACTCCCACACACTACCCCGACCACCTACCGCCAAAAAAATACATTAACAGTTTAACACACTCATTTTTGTTTATGAATTAGTAACATATTTTATCCATTTAATTACTCATTTAACTACTACTTATAAATGGGTAATATGAATATTATTCATTTTTTACCCATTTTATATGAGTTAGGTACCCAACCCATTTAAAATGGGTAAATATGAGTGAATACCCATCTAAATTATTCATTCCTTCACCCCTAATAGCATGTATGGATTGAATACTCATAAATTTTGATTTTGGTAGTTATGAAATATGTAACTAAGACAAATAAATTGAAACAATAATGTAATTTTAGTGATTTATATTCACATTAAAGTTTATTCAAGTAGTCAACTAATTTTTTATAAATAATTTTTACTTTAAAATATAAAATATCCGATTATGTCATTACATTGGTAAAATAAAAAATGACACATGAATTACAACGTAGGAGTGGCAGGGCTACAACCGACTAAGGGTGGTCGCCCTAACACCCTTCGTTGGAAAATTAAATCGTGTATATATAGATACAATATTATATATTATAGGGAAAATGCATAAGTATCCCCCCCCCCCCCTCCCAACCCTATCGCCCGAAATCCCAGAGACACACTTATACTATACTAAGGTCCTATTACCCCCCTGAACTTATTTTATAAATAATTTTCTACCCCTTTGCGGCCTACGTGACACTTATACTATACTAAGGTCCTAGTGGTTGAACTCACAACTACTTGATTCAAATGGACACCCTTTACCACTGCACCTATTTGGTTCGGTTATTCGGTTATTAACCATACACAAAAATAAAAGAAACAATTCATTTAAAATGTGAAAAAAGTGACAACAATCCATTCAAAACGAAAAATAGTTAGAATGACTTAAATTACTAAACTTTCAATCACTAAATTTACTATCAATAAAGCTTTAAAATTCACTATATTGGCCTAGAAGGAAGAGACAATAACATTTTCAGTCCCACAAAGAATTGACATAGACACTCATATACATGAAATCAATAAGATAAATGTTTCATCTTGGACATTTTTGCTTTCACTAAGTAAATTATAAAGAAATTTTAATTAAAATATGTATAAGATCTTTAAAATTATTTATAAAAATAATATATTAAGTATGTATATTAATAAAATATATGTATATAATTCATCGGTTCGGTTCGGTTATTTCTTCGGTTTTATTCGAATAAAACCATAACCAAACCAAATACTATCGGTTTTCAAAAACCTAAAACCAAACCAAACCAAACCCAAATAAAATCGGTTTTATTTTATCGGTTTGATTTGGTTTTTCGGTTTGGATCGGTTTTTATCCAAACCGTGAACACCCCTAACTGCACCAAAGGCTTAATTTTTGTCAAGTGTGTCCAACTTTAAATATATATCATTTAAAAGCAAAATTTGACATATATATGTACAACATAATTTTCCAACGAAGGGTGTCCAACTGCTATAGCTCAGGGTTGTCTTAACCACTATGACACTAAAGTCATCGGTTGGGCCCCCATATTTTTGGGGGACCAATTTTTTCAAAAAAAGAGCAACTTACAAAAATGACTATAGTTTTAGGGTTATTAAATTGGAATAGTCATAAGTGTGATATTTACATAAAGTGACTATACTTTCTAACTTAATCTAGTTGTATTCTATGTCTGCCAATTTTTTTAAATACATTATTACATTTATAATTATAAAGCACTAAATAAGGTAAATTTATTTAAAATTGGCAGACCTTTAATTAAGCCCGTTAAAAAAGTTTGTTTTTTTGTATACTAGTATACAAATCAAAATTTGAGGACATTTAAAATGGCAGAATCCACTTTTATAAAGCGACAGTACCTTAAATCACGCCACTTTGATTTGATGATTATTGTTTTCAAAACTTGTATAAAATTTTGTTAGAATTGATACATCAATACATTGGTGCCAAACAATTTCTGGACTTATATCTGTATGATACATTTCACATATGAAAAATACAAAAAGATACCGTGAATACAAATACAAAGAATATCAAGTTGTATTACGGTATGAATACATTTATTTGTTGGTTCATTCAACCTAAGAATTCTTGAATATTGTCGCGCCTAGAGGCTATCCCCTTAACGTAACACGGGACCTAGGATCACGAGTGACCCCAAGCTAACCTTGTGTCTAACATATATCAGTCATACTGAGAATAACTGAATAAGACATGTACTATGCGGAAGAAAAAACTGTGGATAATTGAAAAGAGGAAAAAACCCAACTGGTTTGAATAATAATATATAAAAAAAGAGTTTAGTGATAACTGAAACAACACTCAAGGGTCTATCAAGAATAACAGTCTAAATTCAGTGTAATCCCACTAAGTAGGGTCTGGAGAGAGTAAAATGTATGCATACCTTACTATTACCTTAGAGGTAGAATGTTATTTCTGATAGACCATCAGTTAAACATAAACGTCCAAAGTAGAATAGGGAGAAATAATGTAAATGAAGACATACATTTTAGGATTAGAGATATAACATAAATGAATTGCTATCACATCAGATTGTCACAAACAACATACCTCAATTAGTAGGGTTGATTCTTGCCTTCTTGGTCCAAATCTCCTTCAAAGTTCAAAACCTCATGTGCTAACTCCAAATTATTCTTTCATTTCTATCTCTAGCTCTATCTTATTTTTAGTCAGAGAACCTTTATTATTCGCTTTTGACGCGAGCCCTAATTATTGCTTGAATAGGTTGACCTTTTCGTAATGGGCTTGTCATTGCAAGACTCATTAATCTGCCTAAGTGAGCTTTTTCACGATATATCATATAAAAAGGAACATTTTGATTAATAAAAGATAAAATATACCGAATCATATATTACAAGTATCAAAATCAAAATTTATTACTAACTCAAATACCAAACGTGCAATATTAGCCTTTGTAATTAATTTTGAATTATGACATTCTGGTCACAATAGAGTTTCACCCTATTGGTCACCCGCCCCCGCTATTCTTCAGGTGCGAACTATGTAAACTTGTTTTTATGTAGTAAATCACAAATCACACAGGAGATATTAATTGTATTAGGCAAATCCAATGCAAATAACTTGACAGAGAAAACGTTGGCAAGTAAAGTCGATCTATGGCCTACTACCCACTATATTAACACCCTTTGTCACTCAGTTGAGCAGCGCATTTATTTTTCAAAATAATTTCGTTGTTAATTTACTTTCTCTAGGCCGTAAACAAACCCGAAATTTCAAATCAATGGTCTATAATCATCGATTTCATTGAGGGTCTATAATCATTGCCTTTTTTTTTTCAAAACCTAATTTGAGGGGGGCCATGAGGATGTCCATAATTGAAATATTTTTCTTTATCGATTGCCAATTTCTTACTCAAAGTAATTGCAAAATTTACATAAATAACGACATTCAAAAGTAATAAAGTTATAACTAAAGGATATGAATTAAAACTAAACGGTGTAGCTAAAGTGGATCCCATAATTTTGAAAAAGTTGTACACGAATTAAATAGAATAAACAAATATTTTCTTATTTTTTCCAAAAATACCCTTGCAGCAAATTTTGACAATTCATGTGACGCAGTTGGAAGAGTTAATGTTCACACTTTACATCATCCTGATTCGTTGGAATATTCTAATCTATCACAAAATGCACACACATTACATAAGTTTTTTCTCTCTCACATAAGAGGTTAGTCTAAGTCACATTTTTCTTATGTTGTTACTCTATCTCGTTCTATATATTTTTGTGTCTATGCATTCAATTTATTCAAACTCATCACTCTTGATTACTCCGTTTATACCGTTTCGAGAATTCAAAGCTATCTTGATTTTCCAGCAGAAAAAAAGGGTTTCTCTATTACTCTGCTTTTTACCATTTGAAGAATTCAAAGCTATCCATTCTCGATTTTCCTGTAGAAAAAGGGATGTCTTTATTCAGGTTAGTTTTTGTAAGTGCAGTTCAGTCTTGTTGTTATAGTGAAGAATTTCTTTAAGATACATATATGGTTGTGAATTTTGATTGATAACAAAAGGTGTATTTTGACTCAGGTGAGGAAGATGGATTCAGAGAACGACTCTGTTTCAAAGAGGAGGACTAGACAACAATCTTTAAGATATATGGTCGAGAAAATTGAAAAGAGGAACGGGTTGATTCAAAGTGGGATTTCTACTAATGGAAGGAAAAGAAAAAAAATGGAGACTTCTGGAGGGACGAAAGAATGTGGAAAACAACGGGAGGAGGAAGTTCAGTCCAGGAACTTCTGAGTCATGCAGAAATCAGCCTTTTGTTGAGGAAGTAACTGATGATGATGATTCGTCGTAGGAGGGGACTAATCATGATGTTATCATTGAGGAGGAGGATGATGAGGAGGAGGATGAGGAAGAGAGTGATCCTGATGTTGTTATCGTTTAGGAGAAGGAGAAGACTAATCATGATGTTGTTATCATTGTGGAAGAGGAGGAGAGTGATCTTACTGTTGTTATCGTTGAGGAGGAAGAGGAAGAGAAGGATGAGGAGAGTAATCCTGATGATGTTATCATTGCGGATGAGGAGCAGAGTGATCCTGATGTTGTTATCGTTGGGGATGAGGATGAGGAAGAGAGTAATTGTGATGCTATTATCATTGCAGGGGAGGTGAAGACTGAACCTAATATTGTTAACGTTGCGGAGGAAGAGGAGGATGAGGATGAGGATGAGGATGATGATAGTGATCCTGGTGTTGTTATCGTTACGGAGGAGGAAGAGAAGAAAAAAGAGGAGGAGGAGGTGGAGAGTGATCCTGATGTTGTTAACGTTGCAGAGGAGGAGGAGGAGGTGGAGACTGAACCTAATGTTGAGGAGGATGAAGAGGAGGAGAGTGATCCTGATGTTGTTATCGTTATAAAAGAGGAGGTGGAGAGTGATCCTGATGTTGTTAACATTGTGGAGGAGGAGGAGGTGGAGGTTGAACCTGATGTTGTTAACGTTACAGAGGAGGAGAATGATGAGGAGGAGACTGACCCTGATGTTGTTATCATTGAAGAGAAGAAGGATCTTATGTTGAATGCAACAAATGAGGTTGTTTTTTCTAAGTCAAATATGTGCAGGACAGGGGACAAATCCAAAGAGTTTACTGATACAACCTTATATTCTAAGTCAGAATTCGAATCTTCAAATGATGCTCTTCGAAAGAATCCGAAGAAGATTCTTAAAGAGTTTGAGTTTCTGAAGTTTATTGTTGATTCAATAAAAAAGGTCAATGATCATAATGAAGTCATTCCTCCAGAAGAGGAGGAACATGCTTATGTCAAAGAAACACTTCCTTTAGTATTCCGATTTGAAGACGAGGAACCTCTTCTCCCAGAGAAAGAAAAATGGGAAAAGGAAATTGAAGATCTTTTTTCTGAAATGAACATGTGTATCTTGGAATCACATATTGAATTTACGAATCCATCAGTTTCGCCAATGTAGAGTGGATAACTAAGTGAGTGTCAAATGGGGAACCACCGTCTTGTTCTAGATGAACAAATTGGAATCATTTGTTCAGTTTGTTCATATGTGATGAGTCAAATCGGTTCATCTAGAACAAGACGATGGTTCCCCATTTGACACTCACTTAGTTGTCCACTCTGCATCGACGAAACTGATGGATTCGTAAATCCAATATGTGATTCCAAGAGACACATGTTCATTTCAGAAAAAAGATCTTCAATTTCCTTTTCCCATTCTTCTTTCTCTGAGGAAGAGGTTCCTCGTCTTCAAACCTGAATATTAAAGAAAGTGTTTCTTTGACAGAAACATGTTCCTTCGCTTCAGGAGGAGTGAGTTTATTATGATCATCGCAATCCTCTTTATACGAGGATTTACACTCCCCGTAATCAGACCCTCCTTATCCGACTCTTCATCATCAGATTCCTCATCATTCTTACTCTTGGACTTGTTTAGAGAGCGTGGCCGAAGAAGATATGTTTGACCTTTGTTGTGGTTTTCATCCTCAACAACAAGCTGAGGTACAATAACTATATCAGGATCACTCTCTTCCTCCGAACTATCAGATATTTCCTCACAAGTTCCAGGAATGAACTTCCTCCTCTTGTCACCACTAAAAGGCTCCACCATTCTTCTTTTCTTCCATCATCTCCAATATTATCAAAAACTTCACAGTCCTCTTCAGACTTCTCGTCATCACTTAAAAGAATCGGACCTTTGTTGGTTTTACCCTCAATAGTAAGTGGAGGACTCCCCAATGGGATATTCACAACGAAAGGCCATTTCTCGTGAGTTCCATCGTCCACCCATGTTTCACACCCACATTGGCAAGTTGTGTATCCCTTTTTGGTAATGGGACACTTACAATTTCGACACAACCATCTTGAAACAGAGCCATCCCCTGAATTCATAAATATGCACCTGAGTCAAATCACACTATCATTAGCACACTAAAAATTGATAAGAAAATAATTAAGTTCGTTTTAGACTTCCAAAATGACAAATATTTTGAGAAAGAGAAAGTCGTACTAAAAGAGTAGTGTGATTCACTAATGTGACTAAAATGTTGTAATTCAGAAGGATAATAACATGTAGGAGTGACAAACAAGCTAGTTGAGTCGATCGAAAATGAGTTAAACAAAAATGGATAAAGTACTCGACTCGACTTGACTCATTTTTAAATGGGTATACACGAGTTACCCAATGAATAATATAATTAAATAGGGATATATATACTCATATTATAGTAGGGATCTTGTTAAAAGCTTAAAAAATATATTTTAAAGTGTTTTTTTATCACTCCACGCCCAGCAGCACCCTTCCCCCCCCCCTATCCCCAAAAAATGAAAAAAAAATTGTTTGTTTTTTGATAAAAAACAATTAATTCTTTTTAGGGATAAGGGTCTGAAAAATACCTCAACTTTGGTCGAAT